ACTTTGTTATATGTTGTTTGTAGTTTCGTTAAGTTGCTATTGTTATTAATGTATATTGTTGTTCTTGCTGTTCGGTTGCTTGTTTGTTATTAGTTTTGTTTGTTTCAATGCGGCTTTGCTGCATGAGTCCTTGCATAAGTGTGTGTCTATATGTATATATGCATGCATGTGTATGCTGAATATGGGCCTGAGAGCTTGCATGATTTCGCGAGTGCCTTGGTGTTGTCAACTTCCAGGCTAGGAAGCATACATACAGGCGCACATGTGCAGAACAGCACCGCGCTGCAAGGCGTCTACTTCCGTTTGCAATCCGTGCACAATAGCCTGACGCTATTGCCGTCAAGGCGCTTCGCTAAAGTATCATTGTTGTCGCAGCAAGGGCAACAGCAGTCGCATTAGCGGAAGTGGGCGCAGCTAAGAACTTTTCTTGCGAGCCAGGAAAGGCAAGTCAAGGATATGTGATACTTAGCTTATATGCATATTTGTGTTGGTGTTTGTGCTGGTATTTGTCTTTTAACTTGAACTTTCTTAGCAAACTGTTTTGCTTTGTTGTTGTTTAGTGTTGCTGCAGCAAGTTAGCTTTAGGAAAGCAAATATGATAAATCTTTGCAAAGGCTGCTTATGCGAAGTGAGTCAGCGAAAAGCTGCGGCCGTGGTGAAGGAGACAACTGCAGAGAGCACACGTACATATATAACGGAGTATAATAAGCATTTGGTAAATATGTGTGGCATGTGTGTGTTTTTCTTCAACGGCTCGTTGAGTGTTGCCACAAATATTTTGTAACAAATCGCAAATACCACGCTTAGAAATTTTATTAAGGAATACAACAAATTTTAGCATACTGGAAATTGACATAATTGCGTTGACCGTTCGAAGAAGCTACATATGTATGTGTATGCATATATATGGGTGAATACTTAAATATACCAACGATATATCGTACGTGGTTATCGGGTTATTCTAAACTAAAAGTTTCATACGCCGTTTGAGAAGTGCATACATATGGAAATTGCTCATTATAAGAATGTATGGTGTTGCATACTTTCAGGCACAGTAATTGCTAATATAAAAATTCGGGGTGTAGCAGAATCCGACTTGGAGAACTTTAGTTCTTGGAACAAAAATAAAATCAAGAGCTTTGTTGTGGTCTCTTCAAACTTGACGCTGCAGCTTTTCAACACATTTTAATTTTTTGCCATTAAGATAAATGGGATGATTAAAGAGACCACAGCAATACTCTGGAGCTGCCGGACTCCCTTACGGCTGGAAATTGGAATCTATAGATGCGATATTTTTTTTTAAATCCCCTGGAGATCTCCCGGCTTTGCTTGAGATGGTATGGGCCGCGGAAGCTTCAGCTGTGGGGTAATCGATGTAAAGCACTCAATGCTTCTGCGATCATTTGTCGCTTACGAGTTGTGTAAAGAACAGGAAACTGGTCGACGGCGGCTAAGATACCTTCTACGCATCTCTTAGCATTTCCGGTCCCTAAGGAACTGGAATTTGATTTCCCCCGGTGTTGGAAGTTGGAAGCCGATTTCGGTTGCAAAGCTTGTTCTACGCCAGTCCTCATACATATGTAGCTAAAGAGTTTAGAACTTAATTCTCCAAAGTTCTCGAAGCTGCCACAGTCTTGAGTATCATTTCGTTCCCTATATTGATGTTTTATATTTTTTGATTTTTATAGCGTAATAAGTTTCCAAAGATCGCAGAATGAACCCAAAACTAAAGAATATGTTTGGTAAATATTTTAGATTACGCTCAAATCCCTTTTTAATATCAGCTCAATTTTAGTCACCATATTAGAGGGTAAACCTTAGTGGATTCCCAGTACTTATATATTCTACTAGAATTTGAATAAATTTGTATCGACTGTAACTTAGTTCTTTCCTCTTCCAGCTTAGGTATAAACGTTCATTGACTGATTGCAAAATAATTTTTTTGAAACTTAATGATCCTAATATGGGTTAGGGTAGAAATGGCTGTCTGCATAGAAAAAAAAGAAA